AATTTCCAATTAAAAATTAAAAATCTCTCAATTTAAAAAAATTGCGAGTGTTATTTGATAGTGAGACTTCCACAGCAAATGATTTATCCATTTATAAATGTTTATAAGCTACAGTCTTCAGCATTCAGAAATCCTTACAAGAGCTTATGGCAAGGTAAAAAACTGCTGAATAAGTACTGAAATTATAAGTTCGAGCGAAGAAAGCCAGAATTCAGAAAAAAAGGATCATTACAATGAGAATGCCTACTTGCAAAGGTCAGCTACGTGTTGGTCGATTGATTGAATGCCATTGTCAATCAAATCAAGCACTGCATTCTGTACCATTGTTGCGTGAAGTGAACATCGTTTGCCAATTTCTGCACCATGTCGAGACCAACACGGCAATATATCCGATGTGAATCCTCCTGCAAAACAATTACTTAAACAACATTTTGTGGGTTGATACAGGTTGAGCAGCAATTCCAGACGGTGTTCTTTGGTGAGGTTGCATTATTGAAATGAAATTGCGATTGATTCAAATATCAAGCTCAGAGGCATTTTGAACACTGATGTGAGTTGACAGCGGTGTTGAACTGATGGGTGAAGGTATGGCGATTCGTTTACTGTTATTAATATTCAAATATCAATACTGAAAACGAAGTACAAATATCGATTATTGTAATATCAATTATTTGTTCATTGAACTGCAGTTATTGCTGGGATTGATAGTGCCCTGCTGACAACTTGCTGAAGTGGATCGGTGGTCATGGGCTTGAATGGTTGCGATGATTTGAAGAACTAGAACTAATGAGAATCCAAGAATTAAAGCTACATTGAAACGGCGCAAAAAAAACGACTGAACCTTGATTACTGCGGAAAGCATTGCATATATTGATCCATGCCGTTTGTCCTTTCAGCACAATTTTTGCTGCAATCGTTTGATCACACATCCTCACGCACTCTTCGAATTCAGTATTCGCCCTCAAATCAGACTGTGTTGTTTTCTCAACAGTGTAAAAGTTTGCGAGCATTCGCAGAAAATGTAAGAGGGAAGTGGAAGTGTGAGCTTGAGGAAGGAAGCATTGTACGAAGGCGATAGCCGTGCGAAAAGATCGAGTCATTTAACAGATTTATTTCAAAATGCATGATGGGTGGAATTAGGTGGAGAGTTTCATTTGATCAACAACAGTGCAGTGAAACTATTCATGAAAAGTTTAGTGCATTCGTATCATATTATTCAATGCAATTAAGGCTAGATTGTTGATATTCACACACAGGGGAGCACACAGAGAGAAGGGAATCGACAGAACGAGTCTCATTCCCGCATATTTAAATTGTTTTTCACTCACAACTGTTTTCACGGAAGTTTTTATTTTCATAATTCTCATTCACACCATCTCCGAAGTGAACATGCTACTGCTCCCAATATAATTGGGTGGCTGGTATACTTCGAAAATCGAGTGAAATAAAACTTTGAAGAATACTGACAATGAGCTAAAAATTTAATTTTCTGAATTTCAAATAACTTCTGTTTGAATTTTAAACCTGCATATATTCAAAAGTCTATCAACGAGCATTTGATGAGGACGACTGTTGGCAATTTCTGGCACTCCTCGAAGGATACTGTGCATCGGTGCCACTAAATCAGCCGTCCAATCGTTCGCCCTTCCAATTATCTTCTCTACTTTGTTCATCTACAATCATCACATTTTCAATCGCAATGACCTAATATAAATGCTTCTGATTCAGTTCGTAACTCCATTTAATTCACCTTTCTGTGTTCATGCTTCATGATTTCAAAACTTGAAGAAAAGCAACAATTGATTTGTGCGTAAAATTGGAACTCACGTTGTTGTCCTTGCAGCGCAAAAGGCACGGTGATGATTGTGCTAAAATGACTGTGACTGAATGAAAAATGAGAAGCATTGACCCGAGACACATCTTCTTCTGAAATTTTGCATTCACGCTTTTCCTGACTGCTTCATTCAACCAATATTTATTTGCGTAATGCGACAACGAGAATCAGAAATCGTGCCCGACCGACACGAAATTTCATCATTCCGTCAGTCGGGATTCCGAACGACAGTCGCAATTTTCGATGGGAATCCGACCGAATTGACATTTTAATTTCCGACTGTCGCAATTCTCGCAGACCTTCCAAACCGCTCGGTTGGAGTCCGAATGTCGGACTTCCGATCGAAATTGTCCGATTTTTCCGACCGACTGTCGGCTGGATGCCATCACTAGTAACTGATTAATTAGTGAATAACTGTGATTTACTAAGTATTATAGTAGCTCCTGGTTCTGCTTTTGACTGCGATCCGTTTATCAGTCGAACCGATAATCAACTACTCCATAAACTCGCCACTTCACAGATTGATAGAGGAATTCAAGCAATTAACGCTGACAAGAAATGAAACTGTATAATGGCAACAGGAAATGAGTATACTTTTGTCGCAATTCAGAAAATGCTGCATTACCTAAAGTAAGAGCAGAATTGTTCGATAACAAATGTTGCGATAAAATATTAGTGAGAATCACAATTTGTTATGAAATTTTCGCCTCGAAATACAACAATGCAAACACATAGAAAAAACGTTGACTCATTTATGAGAACTCGACTTTAATTGGTGATGTTGATTGTCATAATCGTTGGTTGTGTCATTCGATGGAATATTTTTTAGTTTCCGGCTAGAAATGTTGATATAGAACCGAAGATGTGTGCTCGTTAATAAAATGAAACAATTCATCGATAAAATTTCCCTTCAAAATCAACATTGTGATTAATCAAGATCTGACAAGCAAGGCATGTAAATTCATTCCCTAGGTGACTTTGGTCTCCTTCTTGTTTTGATCGTGCCCGATTTCCCTCTTTAATGTCAGCAACTAATTCGCAAATACATTCCAGACTGCTGCTGCTGCTGCTGCTGTTGATTGCAAACCATATCTGTCTATCAACTTGCGTAATACACACAAGAACCGCTCGAACAAGGCAGTCGCTACACAGTTAATGTTGACTCATTAATGATCACGATCCTATCAACAATCTTGATTATGCCAGTGCATGATAATGATAAGTGTGTAACAAAAACAACTCATTTCAGTAGCATTTAATTCGTTTCAAATCAACACAAGTCTGAATGTACACATCTGCATGAAACTATAAAATCTAGCTAAACCATCGTGGATGAGTACATGCATAGCCGGCTTAGGCTATAAATTCAACCGCGCATGCTGGGCAAAATTGCATTCAAATGAACAGTTTTATATCGAATACATGTCGACTTATCAAATGATTGCAAATTTACCGTGCAATTAGAATGATAACTGCTTGAATTGAAAGATATAAAAATGTTGATTCAATGAATTAGACGACACGAATGAGTGCACGAATCTTATTATCAAAGCTGATAGCAAACTCGTTACGGAGCTAATAAATGAAGTATTTGCACCAAGCTGTGAATCATTCTGAATAAATTATTATTCATTGGAATAGAAGACAAAAAAGAAAGGAAGTGGCAGAGAATTATAAAGTCCTACTGGTTACTTATGGTAAGAAGATTGGTTATGGGAATGTGAGTATTAAGAAAGATGAATGGAGTTGAATGCGTCGAAGTCAAGTTAGTTTCAGCAAAGGGTCACAAAGCTTCAGACCGATATTCGATTCGCATATGAATTAATTTATTGACGCATTGCAAATCACTTGGGAAAGAATTCAAAGTATGGCATCGGAAATGCATGCAGGCGATGTTGAATGCATGTATTTGAGATTTTGAATAGTGAATAGTGCTCTTCGAATAGCGCTCGGTTAGCAATTGTTTCCACACTATACATTCACATGATGAATTAACGAAACGACAGCAAAAACAAATTGAACAACGCATCTTCAATAGTTATAACGAGCAAAAGTCATCAAGTTTAAGAACTTCTTGATAGCTTGCTCACTCATTCGACTCTGCAAATGCTCCAACTTTTTTCAGTCAGCACAGATTCGTTTTGATATCGACTTCTATGAATGCAAGGATTGAGTATAAAGAATAACTTAAAAACATTCGTTCGTGGTCATTTGAAGTTATGACAGCGAGAGACAGCTCACAATTATTGCTATGAAAAGTGTGAACATTGAAGCAAAACACTTCCAACTTGTTGTCTATTTCCAGGATATCACATCTTCACCAATATTAACGTTAGACACGGAATAAACAAGAGGATAAACGATGACTACGACTAAGAGAATATCGCAGATGTAAATCAGTCATTTGGACGGCTAACGAGCAATAATGAAACTACCAATGCTAATGTGATAAAATCAAATCTACGCACTTGAAGTATTCGGTGAATCGAATTATCTGAAAAACAAATAAACTTTACCAGGCAAGCGAATGGACCAAGCGAATGCCTATCTCTAACGAATGCACCAAACGAACAAACTCCCTTTATAGACGGAATCGACCGACGACTCATTTGTTCCTAAATGTAGCCACACTCACTCAAATTAAATCATATCGCCAGCGTCGCAATACCCCAAACCTCTAACCGAAGGAAAAAACGAAAACTAATCATCATTATACGTTCATCATCACGAAATCACGAACCAACACCACCTTATCCAAATATCACATCTCAGAATTTTGAACCTTACAAAAATTATCTTGTTTGTGCTATGCAACATGGAAAGAGCACGTACAAATCAATTAATGGATCAATTTGCTTCTTGATTTAGACGTTTTATCAAATAAGATTGCTGAATCTCGCTGAAGCCGTGGCCACTACTTGGAAAACACATGTTGACATTATAAAAATCATTAAAAATTCCCAAAAAATGACCTTTCTCTGCTGTACGATCTGATCAAACAGCTAGAAACTTATCTTCGAGTAGATATGAAACCATTCAAAAAACATCATGAAACGTTCTATTGCGAGGATTAAAACAGTACAGTTCCTAAAAAAAGGACGCAAATAACAGAATGGAACAGAACAACTGAAAAGCGGAATAGAACGGTCTGCCAAAAGTGTGCAATAGAAACATCACTAAACCTGTACACTCAAATTTACTCGATACTCCCAAGAAAAGTATCGATGTAGTTGAATCTGGATGGATCGCTTCACGCCATTTGAGTCATGCGAACTAGCTGTGTTGTCGAATAGGAAATATTCTCTTCCATCAAAAATCACAATCACTTTAACCAGTTGCCGTTCATTAGTAATTCGTTAAAAACGAGATTATTAATAGCACCCTTTATTCCTTCTCTGCAAAACCAATGATACCGTTCAATTTGGAAAAAACGTCAATGTTATTAAATGTTGTCAGCTTCCGGATTCTCTGGGATACGTCTGTGAATGCATTCTTACTATCTTTGGATGAACGCCTAAACGATCATTCACCATATCCGTCAACAGTGATCTAACATGGTTGAATGTGATTATCTGTTTCGTTTATTCATAAAAAGGTCGAACAAATCGTTACGTTTGTTCCCCCGCAAGGCTCTGAATCAAATAATTTCATCGAAAAGTATTCAGAATTGTGCTTCCAAGTAACACTTATGCGTGAACCACTTATTTATCTCATAGATTTCTTTTGAACTATAATATAGCCATTTATTTGTTGATTCACTATGAGTTTTATGTTCGGTTTCGATTCAGTGTGAATTTTATATTGTTCACATTTTTGGATGCAATCAAAATATTTGTGAGAAACACAACTAAAATAACTTACATATACTGTCATTATCTCATAACATTGCTCCATCAAAGATGATGAATTGAATCTGATATCGAATTACCTTTTCAGTGGTGTTTTCACTGTGCAAACATAACAAATTATTTTTTGAAAGGTTCACTGCATGATATTTCCTTCAGATATATGTTCTTTGTGAGGAGTGCTCAACAACTAGTTTAATTAATTTAGAGTCGTATTTTCGTCTGCGATGAGGTAGTCCACGTATTCCCAGGACACAATGAATCTTTGCCTTCGTTCGTTACTTATGCTGCTTAGTCGTTAGTGAGTCTGATTACTCAGCCAGCATCTAGTCACTCATTACCACTTCCCACCAATTTTCCAACAAAATCATCGCAGTTCTTGCTTCGTTTCGACGAGATTAGTGCCAAGAGTAAGTGAGATAAAAATGAGCTGTCTCTGTGATGTATGAGAATTTATCTTCTGAAAGAGATGAACCAATCAAGGTCGTGAGGATGGCAATAAGATATTCAGTGATGTGTTAAATCGACTGAATTTCAGAATACTTTGCTCAAATTTGTCGCATTGGATTATTCATTTCAATCCGATCAGATTATTTCCATTATGATTCTCATTTCCAGATGTTCTTTATAAAAGCAATTCGGTGTTCGCTATCTCGAAACTACTCAACTGGAATATTCATTTCAGCAAGTGTTCAACCCAGACGTCTAGCCGAAACATCACCGCTGTTCGGAGTTAAAGTGAATTTTCGATAAATTCCTCCTCCGCTTTCTTGGGTTTCGTAAGAATATCATTGAGTAGCGAAATAACGTCGATTAGAACGCATATCCGCTGCCGTTCACATCATCGTTTTGTTCAGATGAGCAAAGTGATTGATAGCAAAATTCTTGACCGGTATGACTGACACGTTTCGAGACCATCCAAACACACTTGTCCACTATGGAAGTGAGCTCAAAAAGTGCATTGAACTGAAAATTATTTCGAGCGATTTACATTAGAATAATATAAATTTCAGGTTTTAACCATGCATAACAGTGCGTTTGTTCAGTTGGTTTTGCAATCGCTCCGAAACCACGGCGCTGAAATTTTGAACGCATCCTCAGTCAGTTTGCTTCATGTTAAAAACCGTTCATCTTCGGCACTCAGTCACCATTTTGCAACAGTGAAATCACTGTAGTCATCTTATAGCTAGAAAAAAATCCGGTTGATTTGTAATTGATGCACTCTTTCAACCAAATTCAATGAAAGTAAAACATGAACAGTAGGGTCGATGAAGCTATCAAAATGATTGTCGAGACTGACTGATATTTGGATCGTATTGAAATGCCATTAAATATCACATTATTGTTGATCGAAGAACAAGTTTATGCAATTCAATCAGCAATTTGAATTGTATTTTTGAGATGATTTTATGCGATTGATACTTTTCTATTCCGTTTCAGACATTTATTTGTTGGCATGGTTAGTGCTAATCCTGCGGGACGTGTTACTTGAGTCTTAGATTGCTGCAATTTTTTGCTACACTCAGCAATTGCTGCGATTGTAATTGCAATTGTAATGCTAGCCAAAATGTTGATTTTGCTGACTTTTTTTGAGGTAATGTTCGAAAACGTGATTGACGATACGGATGTAGTACAAAGAAACATTTTGGTGAATGTATGCCGAAAGATGGACTTGCTTATCGAGGATCTAGCAGTTGGAACACTTCAGCGAAATGATATAAACCTAGAAGATTTGATGAAGAATAACTCTGCGATGGTTGTGGTTCGTTTCGCCGGTGAGTTTCGACTGAACTGCTTCGTATGATTCAGTTAATACTAGCGAAATTCTGCTGTCTACCGTGCATATCATCAGTCTTCGAAAAACTTCATCCCGTAAAATCCTATTCAATAGAAAATTCTTCATCATTTCAGCTAATTTGTGCGTTTCACAGAAAGATGAGCTACCTCTTTCGTCAGTTGATCGATTATCGGGCAGTGGTTTGTTGCTTCGTTGTTTTTTTTCTCTCTTCAATATACCACATTTCATTAATGGTCACCGAGAGACACTGATTTAATGTCGATGCTACGACATTAGATCAGCTTTCACATGGGGTACATCCATTATTTCTAAAAATAAGGTAAAACCTCAACATTAGAGGTAGTAGATGTACCCATTTGATAAATTTCAAATCGGTCACATTCATAATCTCTAATAATGAGATGAAACCATGAATTGAATGATTTCTAATTGTAAGGCCTTTTGACCACTAGCAACCATTGTTCATTTAGATCGACTTCAAGCGTTAAGCGCTGGTGTTGTCTCATCTATCGTCATGGGTCTTTACGCTGCACAACGGTCGCAGTCCGGAATGGTGGGTTGATAATGTTCTATGAATTTGTTTCTATTTGTTTCGTTAGTTTTGCATTTTACTTTGCAATGTCAAGGTGACTCCTCGAGTCAAGAATTGAGTCGTTTTAAGTTTTGATTAAACCGAAGGACGATGTTAATGAATTCAAAAAGTTTCAGGTGATTAATATTGACAGAGACTATCTTTCGCAACAGTTCGCACACTTGCACACATCACATTCGACTTCGTGATGTGCTTGCTGCTGCTTTGTGCGCAACAACATGATCCATGAAAATATTCATCACTTTATTCAAACAGTTCATTTACAATCGGATTGATTTCATTACAGTATTGAGTGATAGATCACAATAAAACTCTTTACATCGAGATGACTTTTGAACATATTAGCAAATGCGTACTATAGACTATAGACAAGTGATTTGTTGCGATCCGCTGGTAAACTTTTGTTGTTGGTAAATCATCAATAATAATAATAATACCGCTGAAACGTTGAACCTTGAGGAGCTTATAATAAAGTTGTGGTTGACGTCTTCTGTGTGAGTACCACATATCATTGGTCATTTTGAGCATACGCAGAGTTCCTCAAAATTCTTATTTTCATAACGAGCACGTCAAATGATCATAATTCTAAACTGATACCAACACTAAACAATTTATCACAATTATAAATACCTATATGTATGCGTAAAGAATGGGGCCCACGACTAATGAATTGTGATACGTATTACGAAGTGGGATATTCTTGCTACTTGAAGTATGAATTTGGATATTCGCGATGCCTGAGAAGGCGATGATTTTCCGATATGTGATAGATTCACATAATGACCAGATCAATGCGTTATCCTTGGATTATAGAATCGTACGACGGATAAGAGGAATAAGGCTACGGCATTCAGTGGCATACATATTTGTACTTGCAAATTCAGAGATAGAAAGCGAAATCAAGAAAATACGAAAATTTACGAAAGTAAAGTATTTAAGGAGAAATTAAAATCGCCGTAGAAAATAACGAATAATCATATTCAGAATACAGTTTCAAGCAACACTGAAATAAACCACTAAAGAGATATTGTACGCTTAATGTGCATAATATAAAGATCCGATAAGTTATTTACACCACACAACAAATTGTTCACATTGACGCGTGAATGAATATAAAAGATAAATATAAATAAACATCTGTGAACAAAAAAAAAACCAAATAGATGATGATCACAAGAGGATTCGATCAACCTCCACATCATTTCCACTCATCACGGAAAACTGCAATAAATCCAATCGTCCTGAAATCAAAGTAAACATTTTATGTATTCGCTAATCAGATCATTTTTCGAATTGTTATTCGATCGCTTCACTGAAATATCTCATCAAAACAAATCGAGAACGAATCGAAAACCAAAAATGACTTCTCAAATTCCATACCGAATTACCATCAGAAAAAATGATTATAAACTGTTTTCAATTGCTTCGTACACTTCGTAATGAACAGCAGCATCGTAAATGTTTAATCAGACTTAAGCAAAACAATAAACAAGGACGGGTTAACTGCATTGTTGTGTGCGATTAACAGTCACTATATGAGCCAAAGAAAGGATTATGGCGATACGATGGCACCGCATCATCCTTTGTGTTTACAGACAGCAAAAAACTTCTTCACGTCACTTCATCAAAACATAAACAGTCGCAATCCCCCCAAAAAAAGTTAGTAATGCGGCACGTCATTTATTTGAATGAATGAATGATTGGTAGAAGCAAGTGTATTAGACGTGAATGAATTGAAATGAGTACTGACCTCGTCTAGCATGCCGCTTATCACGGATTAAGTACGGCTGATCGTTTGTAAGCGATGCTTTCTGAAGCAGGAACGTAGTCCGTCGTGAACAATGTCTGTTTATCATTGCTGATGATAAGTTTTCGACATCACCCTCATAAAGACGCCCAATCACTCGGTACGTTTCTCGGACGACTGTGGGACGATGTTCATAATATCCTGACTGAAATGTGCAACTTTACAATGAACATCCATCCTTTCACATGTGAGGAGTTAGCAAATAGTGATGATACATTTATTTCCATTACGAGACTTGAATCAGTTCAAAACCGGGTGAAATAAACGCTTAAGACTAACCATTAGCATAACTGCATACTTGTTGTGAGTATCGCAGTTAGGCTAATTTTTAGAGCATCATAAATGGAAAATCCCTTAATAATCATAAAACAAAGAGCATTAAGTAAAATTCTTAAAAATTATTATATTATCACACAGTGATCTTCATGGAATCATTTATAGGTTTATAGTGATGACAGTTCATCAAATGAACAAAGAGAAATCAAGATTTTCAAGACAACGAACCTCCATTTTCTGAACGAGGTCGATGAGGCTTGACGGCGGCGCAACCAGCTTTCTGTCAAGATCCTTGATGAAACATCGATTCGACAGAACGTCCACAATAGCAGTCAGATTCTGCAACGTTCACGTCAATATTCATTTTCAACGTTAGTAGTTTATGAACCCGTATGAAATTCAACCTCATTCATGGTGTTATTATGCGTGAGAATTAGACCATTACAGTGAGGAAGACCAACTTATTTCACGAAAAATTTTTAAATCATCGTGAATGTTTATCACTTCGAGATCAGAATGAATCCAGACGGCGCTATGTCGATAGCTGAGTTCAGAGGTTGGAGAATTTCGTTACGATTGCAGTTATGATTCGAAATGATAAGGCAAACAAAATAA